ATCATTTCGCCAATTTATCATTTGTATTTTCGTCAGTTCTACAAATCTTTTAGATACAAAAATATTCAAACCTGAATTGAGTCGTTTATATCGGTGGTTTTGGGATGTGTTTTCTCCCCAAAAGGAAAAACCACATAGTTTTTTATGAGAAAGAAATTAGAGAACACGTTCAATAAGAATTTTTTTTCAGCCTGACATATTCATTGTTTCGAAACCAGTTAAAACTAATAATAAAGGTACAAGGTATTGGCGAGTATCATTCCAAGAGCAAGAAAGATATCTTATCAATGGAAAAGAAAAGCTCAAACCTGTTCTAAGATTACTTAAGGTATACTTTTTATCAAAACCAATGTGATATTTTGACACTTATTTTATTTTCAGAAAATGAGAGATAAACTAAGACATGACAGCATAGCAAGTTATTTTATTAAAAATATATTTTTGTGCGAGATACAAAAGCAGCCACCAGAATTTTGGAATCAACCATTGAGCTATGTTTTCATGAAAGTAAGTAATTAATTAAGTTTTATCTGTTACAGATTTTTACTTCAAGTTTGAAACTGTAGATTTCATTTCTGGGCGAGAACATTGGAAAATCATATTGTTCGCCCCGTATATCTAGAAGTTGATTTATATTTGAAAATTATTCAAAACCTTACCACAGATTCAAGAATTGTGGTCGAAAATCCAGTTGTTTTCCAACAAGATGGTGCGCCCCCACATTTTTTAGGTGTAAGGGATTGGTTGGATCAGATATATCCAGGCGTGTGGATTGGTTTGCGCAGTTCGTTGGAATGACCTGCTCGTTCACCAGATTTGACTCGTCTCAATTTTTTTCTCTTTTCTTTGGGGCTATGTCAAATCGGCAGTTTATGTTTTGCAACCTGGGGCAATACGGAAACTGCGAAACAGAATTACCGAAACTTGTGCTAGCATTACATCATAAACATTCTAAAATGTTATGAACAGTTTGAAAACAGATTATTTTACTGTCAGGTGGTTCAAGGATATCATTTTGAACATTTACTCAAATGAATTGTTTATTGGGAAAGAAAGTTTTTGGCTTTCTATTACTCCATTTTGATACAAAAAAAAAGTGGGAATCTTCCAAAGAAAGGAAGGAAG